CCAAAGAGATCAGAAAAGGGAAAAGGACACACACATACAAAAATATTTATAGCAGCTCTTTTTCTGGTGGCCAAGAATTGGAAATTGAGGGGATGTCCATCAATTGGGGAATAGTTGAACAAATTGATGTATATGAATATAATGGAATAATATTGTGCTATAGAAAATGATGAGCAGGTGGATTTCAGAAAAATCTGGAAAGATTTACATGAACTGATGCTGAGTGAAGTGAGCAGAACCAGGAGAATATTGTACACAGCAACAGTTACATTGTACAATGACCAGTTCTAATAGACTTAGCTCTTCTCAGGAATACAATGATCTAAGACAATTCCAAAAGATTCCAGATGAAATATGACATCCATGTCCAGAAAAAGAACAATGGAGTCTGAATGCAGATTGAAGCACACTGTTTTCTCTCTTTTTTTTTCCTTTCTTGTGGTTTTTCCTTTTTGTTCTGATTCTTCTTTCACAACATGACTAATGTGGAAATATGTTTAATATGATTGTACATGTATAGCCCAAATCAGATTTCACGCCATATCAAGGGGAGGGAGGAAGAAAAAAAAATGGAACTCAAAATCCTATGAAAGTTAATGTTGAAAGCTAAAAAAAAAATTAAATTCAAAAAAAGGAAACTCTGGTAAAGGGTAAAGAGGAATTTCCACACTAGAAACTTCCCATCTCAATAAAATCACAAGTCCAGAAGAGAGGGGGAGAGAGAGAGAGAAAGAGAGAGGGGGAGAAGGGAGGGGAGGTGAAGAGAGGGGAAGAAAGGAGAAAAAAGTAGAGGGGAGGGAGAAAGAGAGGGAGAGAGGGAGGGAGGAAGGAAAGAAAGAAGGAAGGAGGGAAGGAAGGAAGGAAGGAAGGAAGGAAGGAAGGAAGGAAGGAAGGAAGGAAGGAAGGAAGGAAGGAAGGAAGGAAGGAAGGAAGGAAACCAGAAATCATGTACGGTATAAAAATACTATTAAATGGAGTTAAATAATGCACTGAAGAGAAGAGTGCAACAAGAAGAAGCCACAATGATCATGGCACCACATTGAAAGTGGCTCTCCCTTTCTACCATCAAACATTGAGTCCCTTTACACAAAAACCAATTTCATAAGGGTATTTGTACATAACAATTCTTCCAAATATCAAAGCCTTCATTAAGTTTAGTGACCAAGTCTTTAGACTAATGGTCTCCAATTTTTTTTAATTTCACATCCTTATCAGTAAAACATTTTTAGCATATACTCCCAATACATGTACATTTACTTATTCATAAATTATTTGTCTGTATTTATGTACTAATAATTACATATATTATAAAACTTGCACGAATAGAAATTTTAAAAAGATGAGACAAAAATGAAACAATATTTGATCCCAGAGCTAATTGCAGCCAACACAGTTTGTTGAATTGAGGAGCAACATGGTCAAATCAGCACTGAAATAAAATTATTTTGGCAACTATATGGAAGGTGGATTGGAGTGGAGAAAGACCAATAGGGAGGCTATTGCAATTGCCCAGGGAATAGGTAATGGGGACCTGAAAGAGTCTGTGGAGAATAAATGTGTGAGTGGAGAAAAGCAGATATCATGGGAAAGATGTGGAAGTAGAAACAAGAAGATCTGACAGTTGATTGGATATTTGGGGTGAGAGAGAGTGAGGGACAGATGATATGAAGGTTATACCCAAAATGACACTAAAAGTGATAATCTGGCTAACTGAAAAGATTGCAACAGTAATTGGAAAGTCTGCAAGAAGGGTGGATTTGGGGGGAAAGCTGTTGGAATGAGATCCAAGATCTGTTGCAATCTGTTGCTGCTCATCCTAGGAGACTCACTCTTTCTGACCCAAACCAAAAAGAGGAGAAGAAGAGTCTCTTATCTATCACTGGACAGGAGCAAAAAATCAGCCCTCTGTAGGGTGTTGACAGCAGCCAGTCATAAGGTGATCTGGAGGAACCAAAGGTGGCTATGGTGGGAGGCGTAGAGGAGAGATTTACGTAATGGATATCTGTGCAGCTGCTACTAGAGGTGCCTGGGTAGCAGTTTAGTTATATTTGCTCTAAGAAGCAAAAGCCCAGCTTGGAAGGGGGGAGCTTGGTAGCTTTCACAGCAAAGGGAGAGGGCAAAGTAGGTGGATCTTGAGAGATAAGCATAAGTGTGGTTATGTTGGTGCTCTAAATCTGGCTACGGCACAGGGGATAAGATGCAACTCATATTCCCACCCTGCTTAGCTCATCACATATTCCTTGGAATCATGTCACTGACCCTTTGTGGTCAAGCAGTGTTCTGGCATGGGCCCTCAGCCCCTACTTTAAAGACTGCAGTTAATGATGAATCCATGACATCCACACATCAGCTTCCCATGACACTGATATGTCCCAGGAATTAAAGAAATAAAAGGCTGATATTTCTGACTTAATTTAATCCAAGAAGAAGGAAAATCTCAATGTGCTGTACCTTTTAGGTCTGATTAGATGAATGATTTTTAAAAATGGACTGAATATCACAAGTAAGGATCCATGGTTAAGCAACAAAACCATTTTGCTCTGATGAATCACATCTTAGCACCCATCTTTCCAAAACAAAGCTGATCACACATCCATAATGGTCACATTTGGACTACACCCAGACTAAACTTTTATCCACATCCCTTAGGCTTCGAAACAGTGACTCTTAGAATGTCAGAGATATGAGACAACCATAGAGATCATCTAAGCCTACTGCTACTTGTAAACTAGAATGGTTCCTTTTGAGGGTAGAATGTAATTTCCTCAAGGTCTGGGATTGTTTCATTTTTGTCTTTATACTCCCCAGCACCTAACAGGTTGTGTGTTACCTTGCACATCCTGGGAACTTAATAAATGCTTGCTGTTTTATTGAATCAGCTGGTAATTTCTAGTTCCCTGGAGTTGTGAAGTCCGGTCGCCCTCAGGGACTTTGGTGTAAGATACATAATTATGTTACACTAGTTCTTAATGATTCATCTCTCCAAGTGTATGCCTGCCTAGCTCTTCCACAGATCCCTCTAGGTAAAGGCTCTTAAAGACAAAAGATTAATAAGTCCCAAAACAGATCATTTAAACTTCTACTGAGACTTTTATGAAATTAACTTTTCTTCTATTGTCTTACTAAAAAGTTAATTTACCAATCAATGTCCCTGGTACCCCACCTCCAAAACTCTAAGTTTCAGATCTTCATTGATAGAAAAAGTCCCCCACCCATAACTTCCTACACTGATGAGATCATAGATACTACACACACACACACACACACACACACACACACACACACATCTTAGATATCTTAGATGTTCAATAAACATTCTGTGCCCACTTCCCCAACAAAGAAAAAAAGCAGATATAGACATTATTTGTCATATCAATATCTCCCTTGGACTTGTAATTTTCAGGAAGGAAGGGAGTGGAATCATCAGTGTATGGAATGCCCATTTTGGAAACTCTCTTCATGGATGCAGATCATCAAGTTCTCTGTTACTTAGAAGTTTAAGGGGTTTCCTAGGGGCAATGAGAGGTTAAGTAATGATAATGATAGTAGTAATAATAAATAGCATTTATATAGTGCTTAAAGGTTTGTAAAGCACTTTACAATATTGTCTCATTTTATCCTTACAACAACCTTGGGACGCAAGTACAGTTATTATCCCCACTGTAAAGATGAGGAAACTGAGGCAAAGAGGTTAAGTGACTTATCTAAGGTTGTATAGCTAGTGAGAATCTGGGGCAAGATTTGAACTTGGGTCTTGTTGATTCCAGGTCCACTACTCTATCTACTGTACCACCCACCTGCCTAGTATACAATATGATACAACATGCTAATATAATATAATAATTTGGTATGGCATAATATCATATGATGTAATATAAGATAACTATTATTTCTATAGCACTTTAAAGTCTGTAAAGCACTTTTAAAATCCCATTGTGTTCTTGTTCAGTCATTCAGTCATGTCTGATTCTTGGTGACTCCATGAACCACAGTATGACAATATTTTTTTTTAGGCAATTGGAGTTAAATGACTTGCCCAGGGTCACACATCTAGTAAGTGTCAAGTGTTTGGTCTGAGGTCAGATTTGAATTCAAGTCCTCCTGACTTCAGGGCTGGTGCTCTATCCACTGTACCACCTAGCTGCCCCCATAGCACACCAATATTGTCCATGGAGCTTTCCTGGCAAAGATTCTGGAATGGTTTGCTATTTCCTTCTCCAGTAAATATCCCATTAGATCCTCACAACAACCCTATGTGGAGATGCTATTATTATCCCCATTTAACAGATGAGGAAAGAGGCTATGTCTTGCTCATGGTTACACAGCTATAATGTATCAGGGCTTTAACCCAAGTTTTCCTGATTCCAAAGCTGGCCTGCTTTCTACTACACCATACTGGTATAAGCCCATTCCTGGGTTTTTAACTAAAAGTGACAATTCACAACCTCAAGGCTACAACCCCATCCCTCACTTCCAGGACTTTTCTTATAACCTTCTCTTGTTGGCTAAAATAAGATGTGCCCTTAGAGTAGAGGATGTGGGATCCTAGTGGCACTGGTGCATTCAGGAATATCTATCAACCATAGTGGATATACTCACAGTAAATTTTGAAGGGTTAATGCTGAGTAATAGTAACCACCTCTGAAGGTAAAACAGCACCCCACCCCCACCCCACGAGCAAAGGCCAGATCCTGCTTGCTCTGGCGCTGTGCATCCAGTGAACTCTAATAGGTACTGATGATGATGGTAATGATGATGTTGATGTTGATGATGATGATGAATCCTAATTGTAAACTAAATATAATCAACTTTCAAAGCTTTCTGAACAATTTGATTAACAGCTCTATTGGTGTCTCAAAAGCAAACTGTTTAAGATCAAAATAAGGAAGAGCTATTAAACACTGTGTAAGCAACAGCTGAGAAAGCCATATAAAAGGTATAACAAGCAAGGAGACACTTAAATTTGAGAAACTTCTCTTTGCCAGAAACTTCCGGATACCATGGCCTGCTGTAACACCTGCTCCACCAGCTTCTGTGGCTTCCCCAGCTGCTCTACTCGGGGGAACTGTGGGTCTAGCTGCTGCCAAGACAGCTGTGGGACCAGCTGCTGCCAACAGGGAGGCTGTGGGACCGGCTGTGGGACCAGCTGCTGCCAACAGGGAGGCTGCGGCGTTGGCTCTGGGATCGGCTCTGGGATCGGTTCTGGGATCAGCTCCAGGATCGGCTGTGGATCCAACTGTGAGACCACCTGCAGGACCAGGTGTTACATTCCCAAGTGCTGTGGAGGCGAGAGCTGCCGCACCAGGTGGTGCCGCCCAGACTGCAGGGTTGAGGGTACTTGCCTGCCACCTTGCTGTGTGGTTAGCTGCACTTCTCCATCTTGCTGCCAGCTCCACCACACCCAGGCTTCTTGCTGCCGCCCATCCTACTGTGGCCAGTCTTGCTGCCTTCCAGCCTGCTGCTGCTACTGCTGTAAGCCCACTACCTGCTGTGAGCCTACCTGTTAAAAAAAAAACCAGCATGTCAACCCCATGGAGGACACCATGTGTTTGAATTGATCACCTTCTCACCCAATGCTGCAATTTTTGACTCTTCATCCCAGAAGATTGCTTCAGGCTACATGGCAGAGCTCAGCTGCTATTCCCCAAAGACAAAAAAAAAATATGAATATAGCCCAGGACACAGAAAAAGAAGGTCTGTGTATCATACAAGATGTTGAAGGTTGCTGTTGGAACCTGACCATCTGGGTTTAATTCTTGCTTCAGTCCCTTAGTGGTTGTATGACTGACTTCATTTCTATGAGCCTTAGTTTTCTCTTCCATAAAAGGAGTGGGATGGCCTCTGAGGTCCCATCCACCTCTACCTCTATCTCTAGCTCTGTGATCCTATGGTCTTTTTAGCAAAAACTCCTTGCTGCTCACCAACGTCCCCTTCCTGAGGATCCCACAGCCAATTTCTTCTTTTCAGAAGTATCTATCTTCAGAACACCTCTTCCATCTCACTGTTCCTCCTCTGGACTATCAAATCTCACTTTACCTTGAAAAGAAGATAAAATAACCCAGTCAAAATAAATTACATAATTTCTGGCAGATAATTTTTTCCTTTTTTTCTCATTGTTCAATGGACATTAGAAGTAGATTTCATGGGAAGCTAGATTCAATTCAACATATATTCCTTATACATCTAATGTATACACACAAGAGATGGGTGATAGGTGGGACTCTGACCCAGGTCTTCCTGGCTCCAAGACCAGTTCACTTATCCACTATGCCACAGGTACTTCTCAGAGGCAAAGAACTACGACCTATTCTAAATTCTCTAGATGAGCCCCACGATAGAATGTCAGTAAGTGAATAATGTAAAAAGTTATTCTACACAGCTAATACAGGCTAAGTATAGTAAGATGAAATAAGACTAGGTCTCTGACCTCATGGAGCTTACAGTCAGGTGGAGATAAAATAGGGACATGGATTATCCATAGAACAAAATGAAAAAAGAGATGTCGTAATTATTCGGTCACTTTCAACTCTTCAGTGCCCCATTTGTGGTTTTCATGGCAAAGATACTGGAGTGATTTGCCATTTCTTTCTCTGGTTCATCTCGCAGATGAGGGAAAGGAGGCAAACAGGCTTAAGTGACTTGTCCAGGGTCACACAGCTAGTAACTATCCAAGAACAGATTTGAACTCAGGACTATGACTCTTCCTGATTACAGGCCCCATGCTCTAATCACTGTGCCATCTAGCTGCCCCCAAAAAGACACAGCTTCATGTATTAGGTAGAGGGCTAGAACTTGAGTCAGGAAATGTTTGAATCTCACCTTAGGCATTTACTGGCAATATTGTTCAGTCATTCCAGTTGTGTTTGAATCTCTGTGACCCCATTTAGGGTTTTCTTGGCAAAGGTACTGGAATGGTTTGCCATTTCCTTCTCCAGCTCATTTTACAGACTAGGAAACTAAAGCAAAAAAGGGTTAAGTGACTTGCCCAGGGTCATACAACTAGTAAGTGCCTGAGGCCAGATTTGAACTCATGAAGGTGAGTCTTTCTGATTTCAGGCCTGGTGCTCTATCCACTGCAGCAATATAGCCATGGACACAATCATTTAATGCCTTTTGACCTCAGTTTCCTCATCTGTAAAACAGAGTAATGGTGTCACAGTATTTACCTCACAGCATTATCATGAGGATTAAATTAGATCACTTAAAAAGACTTTGAAAGCCCTAAGCTACTGTAGAAATGCCATGTATTATTATTTTATTAGTTTGCTTTTTTCCCAAATATCCTCTCCCCATACATTATCTTTAAAGAAATAAAAGGATCAGGACTAGTCTTGTGATTTTATAGGTAGAAGGAACTCATAGATGAAGAAACAGCCTCTACCAAAAGCAGATTAGATGAAGAAACTTCTTCTGTCAACAGCAAATCAGCACCTTCTCTGCAACTTACAGCATTAAAAGAGCCCTGAGAGGTCAAATGACTTACTCAGGATCACACAGCCAGTATGCCTGAAGCAGGACCTGAACCCAAGTCTTAGTGATTCTAAAGCCAGTTCTCTCTCCATCATGCTATAATTTTCTCTCAAAGATGATCACACATAACCAATTCTAAATTCTCTAGTTTAATCCCTTGTTAGAATTAACAAGGTAAATTAACACTGTAAAAAATGATTCTATTTGTGTCTTGCCATATAACTCAAGGAGGTCAGAAATAGAGAGATCCCATCTACACCAAAATATTTATAGTAGCATTTTTTTGTGTGGTTTAAATAATTAGAAATAAAGTAAATGTCAATTGATAAGGAATGGTCAAACAATGTGATATATGGATATAATGAAATACTACTGGGCCATACGAAACAATAATAAAAGGAGTACAGAAAAACATAGGAAATTATGCATTGATGCAAATTGAAGTAAATAGAACCAGGAAGACAATATACAGTGTGCTCCTAAAGCTTAAAAGCACTAAAACTTTTGGAACACCTTGTACATAATAACTTCAGCAATGCAAATGGAAACAACAAACTACAACAACATAAAATTGAATGTGGGAGGAGGAAAGAGCACCTGACTTCGGATCCTACCTTGGATGCTCACTACTTGTGTTACTTTGATTAAATCACTTAATCTCCCTGGGTCTCAGTCTCCTCATCTATAAAATGAAAGGGTTGTAGTATATGACCTTACAGGTTCCTTTCTTAGCTCCAAGATGTAGAGAATCCTGAAGCTCTGCAGATTTTTAGTTAAGTTTCAAGTTGGGGTACAAAGAAGAGAGGAGAAAATATACCTTTCTCCCTTTCTTTCAGAAGTGAGAGACTATGGATGTGGAACATTGCATATACTGTTAGACTTGATTGATAATGGCTATTTTTTTATTTTAATTTTTTTTTAACTAACCTGCTTTCTCTTTCTCTTTCCCTGGGGAGGGGAGCATGGAGAGAGATATTTAGAAATAAAAATGATATTTTAAAAATCAATAAATTTTTAAAAACATTTGTACTTTGCACGTTGTGAGCATTCAGTAACATTTACTGAGTTAAGAAGTATTTCTCTTATGCTTCACCACCTCAGCTTTTTTAGAAGACAGTGTCAATGAACACAAGCTCAGGCAGGTTTGATAAGCTATAAAGACATTGAGTATGGTCTTCTAGGTCAAAGACTGTGTTTGCTGCTTTAGGTTCAGTCAAGTACAGCAAGGCTCAGCAGCAGTAGGCTATCTATTGGGTGATAGGTTATTTTTAATTAGATTTTATTGATCACATTGTATTTTATATTGCCTACATTTCCCCTTGTAAACCTCCTTCTACATTTCTAGAGAACCATCTCTTATCACAGTTCCACCCCCCCAAAAAAAAGAGTAAGAAGAAAAGAAAAAAAAATTGCAAAATCAAACAATGCATGGATGATAAATTGTTTGGTTAAGTAATTGAGTGGTGGATCAGTGGAATAGAATAGGTACACATACACAGTAGTAAATAATTATAGTAATCTAGTGTTTGATAAACCCAAAGTTCTAAGCTTTTGGGACATGAACTCCCTGTTTGACAAAAACTGCTGTGAAAACTGGAAAGTAGTTTAGCAGAAACTAGGTATGGTCCAACATCTCACACTGTATATCAAAATAAGGTCAAAATGAGTACATGATTTAGATGTAAAGGATGATACCATAAGTAAATTAGGGGAGCATGGAGTAGTTTACCTGTCAGATCTATGGAGAAAGGAAGAATTTACGACCAAGCTAGAGGTATAGAGCATTACAGGATATAAAATGGATAATTTTGGTTATATTAAATTAAAAGGTTTTGCACAAGCAAAACCAATGTGACCAAAATTAGAAGGAAACATTTTACAGCAAATTTCTCTGATGAAGGTCTCATCTGTCAAATATATAGAGAATTGAGTCAAATTTATAAGAATATGAGTCATTCCTCAACTGATAGTCACAGGATATGAACAGGCAGTTTTCAGATGAAGAAAGCAAAACTATCTATAATCACATGAAAAAATTATCTAAATTACTATTGATTAGAGAAATTCAAATTAAAACAACTCTGAAGTACCATCTCACACTTATCAGATTGGCTCAGATAACAGAAAAGGAAAATAACAAATGTTGGAGTAGATGTGGGAAAATTGGCACACTGATGCATTGTTGGTAGAGTTGTGACCTGATCCAACCTTCTGGAGAACAATTTGGAACTATGCCCAAAGGGCTATAAAACTGCATACCTTTGATCCAGCAATGGCATTACTAAGTTTGAATTCTAGCAATTTATTTTTAAAAGGAAAAGGACGTATATGTACAAAAATATTTATAGCAGCTTTTTTAGTGGTGGCAAACAATTGGAAATTGAGGGGATGCCTATCAATTGGGGAATGGCAGAAATGGGGTATATGATTATGATGGAATGCTATTTTGTATTAAGAAATGATGAACAAGATACTTTCAGAATAACCTGGAAAGATTTATGTGAACTGATGCAAAGTGAAATGAGCAGAACCAGATAATATTATATAGTAACAACAATGTTGCATGATGAGCAACTGTGAATGACTTAGCTGCTCTCAGCAATACAGTGGTCCAAGACAATTCTGAAGGACTTATGATGAAAAATGCTATATACTTCCAGAGAAAGAACTGATGGAGTCTGAATGCAGATTGAAGCATATTTTTTTCACTTTATAATACACTTTGAAATCTGATACACCTAGGCCACCTTCCTTCACTTTTTTTCATTAATTTCCTTGATGTTGTTGACATTTTGCACTTTCAGATGAATTTGGTTATTATTTTTTCTAGCTCTACAAAATAATTTTTGTTAGTTTGACTGTTATGTTACTGAATAAATAAATTAATTTAGTAGAATTGATATTTTTGTTATATTGGTATGGCCTGCCAGTGAGCAATTAATATTTTTCCAATTGTTGAGATCTTACTTTCTTCGTGTGAAAAGTATTTTGTAATTATGTTCACATAGTTCTTGAATTTGTCATAGCAGGTGGACTC